TCCTGCTGCAAAAACAATACTGAAAGTAAAAAAAAATGTATAGTTTTTCATCTTTTGGTTTTGCTTTCCTTTCCCCAGCCAATGTATTGTGATCTGATGGACCAAAAATTCCACATCATTCACCTAAACTTCTTCATCAACATTTCTTCTCCAATTAATTTAACATTCAGAATATCCATCTGATTGAATACTTGTGAATGTCCAGTACATGTTCATATGTTACACATGTGCATGCTGACAGCACTGGGCTCCAGCTAGACTGTCAGCTAATAAGAGCAGATGTGTGCAAATACAATGGTAACAAAGTTCTTTCCATTAGTGAGGACAAGAATACAGAAATCAAACTGTTCATCTTAAATTGTTATTTTCCTAGAATTGCTCTTTTCCTAAATTACAGCAGTGATCCAAAGAGCAAATATGCTGCATCTCACTGAGCTATACCTGCATGATCTGAAATATTTCATGCTTGTTTAAACTATTAGAAAAAAACTTGTTTTCCCTGTCACTTCTTGAGAGATCCTTTTAGGCTTTACAGTCTACCCCAGAATTAGTTTCCTGGCCTTTTCTCTACTGATAAAGAACTTAGAAGATACAGAAAAATTGAAATACAATCACTGTCTTTGCAGAGTCAGCATCCATTTGGAGAGCACAGGAGTGGTTCCCATTTTCTATTTATATTACTGTAAAGCAACTCATATTTAAAATCTAAATTTCAGACTTACTGGTAAACACTTTTCATATATATACTTAAACAGTTGAAGGTGAATAATATTAAAATAAATCCTAAAAAGCATTGGGAAACATTATTATAGTACTTTTAGTCATGACAACATATGTCCTACTTAACAATGTGTACCTTATAAATGCTTCAGTTTCCTGAAGTTAAAGTAATCAATAAAACAATTTTTTTTAAATTTTTTTTTAGTTTTATAGACTTTCTGCCTGTCTTCTCAGGCCTGTCTCTCTCCTTATAAAAATGTCAGGTTCATTGAGAACTGGTGGTCAACTGAGGGATGCCGTGCTGTCCTTCTACCAGAGTGCTGTGAGGCTGTCTGAGCAGCACGCTGTCCTGCTCCACTGGAGGTTGTACAGCTCAATGCAAAGAGCAAAAGCATTCCACAGAGAAACTAATGCAGTTATAAGGACCAATAGCAAATCCAATGAACAGTTAAATATATATATAATATATAATCTAGCTAAAGTCAGTGATGTTGCCCATGTGTATAAGCTTTCACCAGCCTAAGGTCTAACGTTAAAGCTGAAGATAGGAAAACAGATGCCAGTATTTTAACAGGAAAACTACCTCATTTCCTTTAAGAATTATGTCAAAATATTCAGCTTTGTTGTTATTATAGAAATATATATTGCATGACCATAACTGTTTTCCATACAGTAACTGTAATTTATATAAACACTTTTATCCATTTGTTCTGTGCTGTGGAATTTGATTTTTTTTACTTTTTTTTGCATTCATTCCCTCATTAGACACTGAAAGAGTTTTATCAGGTAAGGAATTATTTCACTGCATTTTTTTTTAGCAATGAAGTAGTTGTAAAATATCATAGATAATTGGGTATAAGGTTGTGGTTCTTTTTGTGCTGACTTACTGTATTTTAAGACATTGTGTGTATCTTAATATTTACTAAAGTATGACATACTTTTTTTTTTTTCAGGAAATCCAGAGCTGTACTGTTGATCTAGGTATTACATCAGACAGCTCTAATCACCCTGACAACAAGAATAAGAATCGATACATAAACATTGTTGCTTGTAAGTAAATGCATCACTTGGTGTTTTGTTTAAGAAATAATTGTAGACAATTATAGATTTATAGGTTATTAGATGGAAAAAAATACCTCTACACTGAAAGCTGTGGCTACTCTTCAGCAAAATATGTGCAGAGAAGTAACAAGAGATTTCACATCTCTTGAAGTTAGTCCTCTGGCATTCTGCTGCTTTGATGACCATATGTCAGCAAGTCATATTTGTGTCTTCTGTGGTGACTCAAAGGGAGTTGGGAGATTTCATTATAATGCTATTATAAAGCCAAAGAAGCTGTGTTTTGATTGCCAAAATTAATCCATCTTTGATCTGGAATAATGATGATTTATCCTCTCTAGGAGCTTCACAATCCCTGGATATATTTACTGTCATATGTAAATATAAATGTACTGGTTTTATGTTGTATTGTCCCCTGCCACAGTGTAATAGATCAGCTTCATTAACCAGGATGCTTTTTCCTATTGTGTTGCCCTTTTTCACTATCCCAGATTTTTGTTTTCTGAAACACATCTACTCCGTTTTGTTAATCACTCTTTGAAACTATTGCCTGTGGGCTCTTCATCATTTTGGTGGCTTAATATATTTTTCTTAACTCTTTATAGTATTTTAACTTTGTTCTGATAACAAGGAGCTCTACATTAAATACATGCTCAGCATTCAGTGTCACTAGAGCTTAACAGAAAAAGAGACAGAATCGGCCCATCTGGCAGAAGACAATGTAAACCAGCAGCAAGAAATCCCATTCTACCTGGCTGAAGATACCTCTAGAGGAATGGAAAGTCAGGGATTTTCCTCTGTCACTCTGTGATTGTACCTGATCATACAAAAAGTGCCAACCAAGTGACTTTGTTATCAAAGAGCAGTGCACAAGCAGCTTAGGGCAGCTGAAATAGCAAGAATTGCCTGATGCAACTGAATGAAGTCTCTAGTCCTTATAGTCAGTGCAGGCTACAGAAAGCTTCAGCTCTCCCTGACACAGAACTGCTGAGGCTCTGCAGCTGACCAGCTTCTCCAAGGTCATGTTGCTCTCCAGTCTCCACTCTAACTTGGAATTAATGTGCCTAAGCACTGGTGCCTGCTGTCATCTGAGACACCCCTCTGTGCAGGCTTGGCAGTTGTGGACACCAGACTTACAGAAGACTTGTGCCCCTTCACAAGCAACAGCTGGAGGCTCTAGGGGAATATGTCAGGGTGCCTAAAATGACCCCAGGTGCTGCTGTTCAGGCAGCTAAATTCTCAATCCCTTGGATACTTGGATTCATCAGAGTATTTTTCTGCAAATTAGAATTTTGAATTTGATTTATACCTAAGCGCAGGATGTTTGCATATGTGATTGTCACTATATTAGTCTTGTGTATTGTAAAAATCCATTTCACTATTTTTTAAAAATATTTCTTATAGAAAGAATGCAATTCTTGCAGAAAACTATGCTCATTTTCTCCCTTGTTTTGCTACAGATGATCATACTAGAGTTAAATTAGCTCAACTTGCAGAAAAGGATGGAAAACTGACTGATTACATTAATGCCAACTATGTTGATGTAAGTGCCTTTTTCTGTCTGCTACTCTATTCATCCTTTACAGCCTTTTCTGTAAAAAATGATGCATGGAGGTAAATAGACTTAATTTTAAAAAAGTATCACAATATTACAGGTTTTGTTAAAAAAAGCTTTAATTATCTACATAGCCTACAAAGTTAAAGCATAGGTAAAACTAATTCTTTCTTTAATCCATCTTGATATTGTAGCAGCTGCAGCTCAGTCAAGAGCTTTGTAAAACAAAAAATGTTCTTTCACATCTGAGTCATTTTAGAAGCATTTTGTATCAATATTTGTTTGTACATTTTTGGTAAGCGCTTAATTCTTCTGTCTGAGTTAATCTCATGAGAGGAATATGCCATTTGGCTGACAGCCTCACTGAGGTACCATTTATTCAGTTTTTGTTACCTAGTAATTTGTATGTGAATGATCTTGATTCATTTTTTAAACCACTATCATAACAGGTGCCTCATAACCACTATCATGTCAACATTCTGCCAGAACACAGGCACTTGAACATATATCCTATTTGTTGGAACAATAAACATTGACATTCATAAGTCATCTGGTACAGAGGGTTTCGGCGATTTGGATAGTTATAAATTCAAAAGTACTTAAAAGATTTTGACATTCTTTAAAAACAGATACATAAAATGTCATGTACTTCTCCCAACCTCCTTTTGCTCATGGACTGTGGTTTGACAAGTGTCATTTGTTATATTTCAATTTAGGGCTACAACAAGCCAAAAGCCTACATTGCAGCTCAAGGGCCGCTGAAATCGACAGCAGAAGATTTCTGGAGAATGATATGGGAACATAACGTAGAAGTTATTGTGATGATAACTAATCTCATTGAGAAAGGAAGGGTATGAGTACCTTTGTCTATTATTTATTTATCTGATATCGATAGATCTACCTCTAGCAGACTCGTTTTTCTCTTTTAAAAATCTGTTTTAGGCATTTATTGAACAAAAAGCGAGTGTGTAGTAGTTGCTTGTACTAGGATTGGCTGTAGAAGAATAAAGTTGAGGATCTGTAGTATGAAACTGAAGAAAACGTTTAAACTCAATTGACAACAACAGGTCTGGAAAATGCCATGTTCTAACTACAAAAAAAAAAAAAGTCTTACACTGAAAAAAAGACGACTTCTGTGTATTTAGGAGCAGCCAGACTGTGGACCTTGTGCCATATTCTGCTAGCAATCTGCTCTCCATCATTCTGTTTCTCAGGGGTGCCCTAGACCCTGGAAAAGAGAAGGCCATAGTTTGGGTAAATTTTTCTGGATGTTCACTGGCTGCTTCCTGTTAACATCCCATGGGACCCACAGTTCCTTTCCTAGTATATGACTAGATACGTGTTTGTCCAATGAGACAAAATGAAGTCAAACCCCATCACAGGATGTGCATTTCTCTGGTTATGTGATGGGAGTGTGCATGTACCCTGGGGTCACATGAGGAGACATTACATCCCACTTGCCATATACTGACAGCAATGCATAAAATGCATATAAGTCTTGCCATATGACCTCCTAAGCATCTCTCAGATGACAGAGGTACAGAAAATGCAGACAAGGGCCGTGCTGGGAGTACCACTTCATTTTTAATACCATGCTCTTCTAGTACTCCAAGGCTATATGTCTGCCCAGCCAAAAGGCTGGACATCACAGCTCTCTACTGTATTCTGACAACACGCAAGCTCACTCTTCCTCTTGCTGATCAGATACAAGTATACCCTGTCCATGCTTATGAACTAACCAAAAGCCACATATGGCTCTAGTGACTTGAATGGTCAGACACTGGAACAGGTTGCCCAGAGAAGTTGTGGATGTCCCCTCCCTGGAAGTGTTCAAGGCCAGGTTGGATGAGACTTTGAGCCACCTGGTCTAGTGGAAGGAAGGTGTCCCTGCTTACAGCAGGGGGGTTGGAACTAGATGATCTTTAAGGTCCCTTCCAACACATACCATTCTATGGTTCTATTAATGTATTCCTGTTTTTCCTATAGATTATCTGTTATTTTCTTTAGATTTTAGATTGCCTATAGAATAGCAAGTTCCACACTATTAGAGCTCTTCAACTCTGATAGTGTGATTTAAACCTCTCTTTTTTGGAGTATTCCAAATAAAGAGCATCTTTGCACAGCCATTTCTCTTCACAGCATAAAATACACATTATTTGTTCTCTTACACCAAAGATCATGTCTCTTATAAACTGGGTATACTAAGAGTCCCTATATCTTTTTGCAGTTGGCTGTGCTTTTAAATTTGAACATTTCAGCTTGCTAGTTTGACATTTTGTTTTCTTTTTCTGTGTTTTTCATTCCCTTTCTAACAGAGAAAATGTGACCAGTACTGGCCTGCCGAAGGTAGTGAAGAATATGGGAACTTCTTGGTTACTCAGAAGAGTGTTCATGTACTTGCCTATTACACTGTGAGGAATTTTACTCTTAGAAACACCAAGATCAAAAAGGTTTGTGGCAGCCTGAAACATAGTTTAGGCACAAGTGAGTGTTAAAAGTTGCTCAGAATATTTTTTTAAGGCAGTTGGCAGCTCTTCTGTTGTATAGATAAAGCTGAATCCTGTAGGTCTCAGCCAGCCAAGATGCTCACCAGCTTCAAACTTAATTTGACTAGATCAACAAATTGAGAAGATACTGGCCTGTAGTACTGGTGCAATGTGGGACCATCAGGAAAAAGGCTGTGATCACACTGGAGAGCTGATTTGGACTGTGCCTGCCTGGTGAGCAGGAGGATACATTTTCAGAAAGAGAGCAGCTAGTAGAAAATGTGGTATGAATTAAATCATCCAGCTATCATTTTTCCTTTTAAGGACTGAATTTTTACCTCCCTGCAAAACAGGTGAATCCACATCTTGTTTTATTGTGATCAGAACCAGCATGCTTTCAGCTCAGCAGTGTGACACTGGCTACTTTCAGGGGCATTCTGAAAGCTAAATTTATTTCAGCTACCAAAATGTTAGACATCTAGTCTCTTGACCACCCTGTATAATCAATAGCTGAAGAACAGCACTTACTGTCAAGTAATTTATTCTGCCTATTTTAGGAACCAATCTTTGAATGGGATCCATCCACTCTCTGAAGGTAGCTACACAAAGCTACTTCCCTTGTAGATCACTAAAGCTGAGTGAGGTGAATCCTACCCTTTCTGTCTACCCAGCAGAGGAGCAAAGTGGCAGAAATAGCTGGTGCCTCTTAAGAGCAGCTGTAATTTGTTATCCCTCTAGTACTCTTAGCCTTTCTCTATGGCTTTCTGAGGGACAGTGCCAGGTCATTTTTCTGTTCAGAGGGCAAGCTGATGGGACAGAAGCACTGGCCCTTCCTCTTCTCTTTGAAAGCTGGAATATTCAGAGCTAGGTGGCATGCTGTTAACTAAATAGGGACAGAACTAATTCAAGAACTATCAAGTACAGAAATAAAAATATGAAGAGTTGACATTAAGAAGTGGGCTGCTTACATACGGAATTATTTTTCTGTTACAGGGTTCCCAGAAAGGGAGGTCTAGTGGACGCATAGTAACTCAGTACCATTATACTCAGTGGCCTGACATGGGTGTTCCAGAGTACACGCTGCCTGTGCTCACCTTCGTGCGGAAGGCATCGCATGCCAAGCGCCACGCTGTCGGGCCTGTTGTGGTTCATTGCAGGTGTGGTTTTTATCACCATAAGGTTCACTCCGCTTTTGTTTTGCAGAAAAAAATAATTTTTCAGTGGTGGGTTAAGCAAAATTTCACTCTTACATTTAACAATTCCTAATGGAATAAGATTAATTTCTTAGCTGATATTTCTATCCTTGGTAAGGCCAACTAATCCACTGTCTGTGCCACTTCTATAAATCTCCATAAACAAGATGCTGCTGCTCTGCGCTCTGTTCTATTTTTTTTTTTTTTTTTGCAAAAATGCTTTTCTTTTTACTTTTTTGCACATTTCTATACTACTCTCTTGGTTGCTATGAGCTTACCAGATGCATATATAGCAGTAATTGTTTAATTTCCGCAAGTATATTGTTAGGATGTTTTTGGCTCATGCTTTCTTTGGTGCAGGGATACTCTGTAATTCTAAGAGGAGCTCTGTCCACAAAAGAAGACTCACTCTATTCCTGGCTGAACTACAACTCTGCTGTTTTTAACATTACTCTGCACTCTAGCAGTCATTTGCAATGGAGGAGCATTCTGGGGAATGGTCTGAGGTCTGCATGTGCCGCAGTGTGCAGGCAGGTGTTCTGTCAATGCTCACTAAAACTGGGCAGCTCAGGGAAGATTGGTTAAAAAGGGCTTGTAGGGCCTGGAATGACTTCACAATGCCCATGAAGGACCAGGTTATTGTGAAATATATAAGCAGGTTCTGGTTTTCCACTGTAGTACCTCACCTTTGATGGAACATTTGGAAAGAGAACCTCCTCATGAATTCTGTCCTTCTGGAGCTGACTCTGAGGAAGCCAACAGGTAAAGTCGCCTCACAAATGCTGCAAATGAAGATATTTTATTTCTGGGATGATCTAATCTGACTGAAATCTGTTTTTAGCTTGGAAAATGAAAATTCCACATTTTGATTGTTCTGCTGCTGTCTACCTCCTACCTGCTCTTGGGAAGTTCAAAATGAGAGTTTCCCCAAAATGCCAAGTCTGAGATCTATGTCACCAGGCTGAGAGATCAGCAATGTGTTATAAGTCAATTAAATTGAGTTTTTAGTAAGCAAACAGTGGTAAGTTGTGTGGCTTCAGTCAGACCTCTCCACTGAGTCGTAGGTATAACTCATCTCTGTCTGTAAACAGTTTTATTCAGCTTTTAGTTTGCCTGTCCCTGTGCACTATGGAATTTCAAAGAAGGTATCTCATGTTAGAAATGTAACTTTAATTTATCTTTACAGGCCATGTGGAGGACACAGATTATGAACTTCATTAAACTTTTTTTAGCTATTTTTATGATTTATTACTTGTCATGTTTTGTCTTTCATAACAAGTGCAGATGGTGTCTGGTAATCTATAATTTTTTGTGTCTAATAGTGTGTTAATAACCCGGACCTTTCAGTTTTATATCACTTTTATTTAGGCAGTTTATTACAGAAATCTGAGCTCACATTACCCATGCTTTGTGCCACCTCTGTGGAATAAATGAGATGACTGAATTAGCATATACAGACTGAGCTTGGATTTGCCTGTAAGGGACCATGCAGACCCAGCACAGTGTTGCTGTTGAGTTATATGTACCAATACTTGTTTCCTTATAACTTAGAGAGGAATTACAACTGACTAATTCCCATGTAGGACTAGATAATAAAAAAATGACCTCTTGACCTTGTACTCCCTACCCAGATATTTTATGAAAGAAAAACTTGGGGTTTAACCTTATAATAAGCCATTTTTATGCTAAATGAGTCAGAGTTCATAACAGGAGTGAGTTGATTAACCCTTTCTTCTCCATCTTCCCTTTATAAGAAGGGTTTCACCCATGCTTGTCATCTTAGCTGTATCTGAAGAGCACTAGGCTTTTTCTTTTACAGATGTACTTTCAGCAGTTCTGCCACTTCCTTGGGTTTTCCTTAGTCTGGTATCTTTGAAATCTCCTATATCTCTAAAGGTGGCATAATGCAGCTTTCCTTTTAAAATGCTATGTGTTTCAACATAGAAGAACTTGAACACATTAACTGTCCCCAAATGCTAACACCCTTTCTAGGTATACTTGACAAAGTATCCTAAGGAATATCAGAAGCCTGAAAATTGCAGACCTCCAGGAAGCCCCTTAGTTCTATTTCAATTGATACTTTAAATATCGTTTGAGAAAATTATCTTTAGATCTCTTCTTGCACAAAGAAAAAAATAAGTTGAAAAGATTTTTCTTCATTACCAGCCAGTGTATCATATAATAAAATGATTTGTAAAGGACAATCTTCCCTCCACACCAGTTTGTTGAAAAAGCTATGTATAAGAAACAGTTCTTTTCATTATTGTTTTACTTCAGGCTCAAGACTACCTTTTTGTTTTGTAGTGCTGGTGTTGGAAGGACAGGCACATACATAGTGTTAGACAGCATGCTGCAGCAAATTCAGCATGAAGGGACAGTCAACATATTTGGATTCTTAAAACACATACGTACCCAAAGGAACTACTTGGTGCAGACAGAGGTAAGAATAAAATATATATAGCAAGAGACTATTACAGACTATTTCTGTTTGCAGGAGGAGAAATGATACAGTTCTCTTTTTGGCATTGCCAGACAGACTGGCTGCCCATCACCAGATCACCAGACTGGACTTTCCCTTTTGCTTCCCTTTTTTCTATAGAGACATCCTTCTAGGCTCGCTTAGAGCAATGCACCAGAAATTACCTATCTGTGGGCTCTTGTCTTTTTATTAGGGAGGACTCAGAAGAGAGGAAGTCTGTATAAATTATAAACTATGCTTCCCACAGAAGCACTTTCTTGGCAAGGCATACATTGTTGTCGTAGATTTTTTTAAAGAAACATTGGTGTCAGGTGTTCACATCTTCACTGGACCTTATCAAACAGTTTATATCAGGCAATAAAAAGTAGGAAAAAAAAAGCTCTTTCCGACAGAAGATTATCTATAGCTGGTTTAAACTGAAAATTGTATATAGAACAGTGAAAGACCAGAAGAAAACAATAAGGACAACAGCAGGGCATTTGAAAGTCTATTTCAGGTTTCAAGAACAGGTGGTTAGATTCCCCAGTGCCTTTCAATAGAAAAAAAAGTAATCAACAACAGCATGGGCACTTGTTCCAAAGGATGTGAGAGAGAAAACAGAGGATAGCAGTAGGAACTGGGAGTGATCACTTTATTGCAAGAAAGGCAGGGAGAGTCGCGTAACAAGCTGACTTGAAAATTTGACTCAAGGCTATGCTTGCATTTTTAACTCTGTTCTGTGAACCTGAGATACCACAGATGGTGGGGATTTGGTATTATATCATATATGCATTGTATCTATAGTTCAGCTGTCCTTGTAAAGGTATACTGTCATTGCAGAGGGACAGCCTTCACTCTAGAGGATCACTTTAGAGAAAACTCCTCTACAGCAGCAGAATGTGAAGAAATATCAATCACAATAGAAGTGGCAGCTTAGCCAGAGTTGTCCAGGGGAATCTGAAAATAATTAGAGCTCTTATGTTTGGTTTTATTTTCCTAGGAGCAATACATCTTCATTCATGATGCATTGGTTGAAGCAATACTCAGCAAAGAAACAGAAGTCCTTGAGACTCACATTCATGCCTATGTTAATGCTCTCCTGATACCTGGACCAACAGGGAAGACCAGACTGGAGAAACAATTCAAGGTGAGATAGGAACATGAAAAGCTTTAGGCTTGCAAGCTTGAATGACTTGAAAGTAGGTATCTCAACAAAACTTTCATTAGCTTTCTCTATCTAAAATTTAACTGTTGAATCTAAATTCAGAGCAATTTAAGACACACATGCAGTCAGTTGGAACGAAATAATTATTTGCATACTTAAACATGGAACTTTAAAAAAAAAAAAACAAAACAAAACAAAAACCAAAAAAAACCAACCAAGAGCAGGAGAAATAGGCCAGTAAGTAGATTTTGGAAAATCTAACTACATACCTTTACACAAAGATCCCAGAAGTAAAACAACACTCTGTAGAGTTGTCATTCTGGCAAAAATGTCATGAGCTATATTGATCAATCAACTTACTCCCCTCAGTGTGTAGCACTGGCTAGAAGACAGACCAGAGAAGTGAACACTTTGGTGCTTGTGGGTGTGGATCAGTGTGTACATGTGTAGGACTTTCAGTCACCCAGAGAAAGAGCAGGCCCAGCTGGGTAACAGCCCAGAATCTATGAGAGAAACAGCTCATTGACTCACGGAGAGAATGGGAAGTCTAGCTTGCTCAAAGAGTCACTTATGGAGGAAACAGAAAATCCTACCTTTTCAAATGAATTTGAATCCAGAGAAGTAAATCACACTTAAATGTTTTCCAGGTTATGTGGCAAAACAGACTTTGCACTTTTAATTTAACAGGAAATGAATTATTAGAACCTTTCTCTCTAAGGATTTTAATTCCAAGGAGGACTGCATGGGATAATGTGTATTCTTTCTACAATTAGCTATTGGATCATAAGTAAAAAATTTAAGCAGATAAGTCTGTAGATAATTTCAATATATAATAAGGCTATGAAAAATATTAATATATTTATTTTCTGAAGTATTTTAATCACATAGGCACAGTAACTAGAATGTCTTCAAGGTAATTAACAATACAAAACAAGTGTATAGGAACAATGTACCAAAAGATTTCACGGTTGACTGCTATCCTGGCTGCACTATCCGAGAGTGTTGCACTGTTTTTTCCTAGGGAGAAGTAGAGACTCTTATCTCAGTTGTGATGTGCTTGGAGAAATAAGCATCCCACCTTTCCAACACGGATAAAAGAATAAAACACATAATATATGCAGAGTGTCTGAATATATATAAACACAGACTGTGCAGAGCAAATTGCAGGAGCCATGTAGAGCTACAATTTCAAGAGTTTAAATATTAGCAGAAAGGGACATGTCTCATTCAATCTCACTTTCCTTTGAAAGCTAAAATCATTAGAATAATACAAAAATGTGGAGTCTTGTTTTAGTGAATAACTAATTTGATTAAAAAAAAAAAAAAAGTAGTCTAGTTCATTTTGATGGAACTTCCCTGGTTTGCTATCTGTTTTTCCAAAGCAGGCATCTTCTGAAAGCTACACACACCCAGCCCAAAACATCACAGAAAAGTTTTTTTAATTCTTTTGAACATTCTGATTAATTTGGTTAATTTTACTAGCAATCCAAAAAAACAAACAAGCAAAAAAAAATTAGGAAAAGCCTGCTTTCCAAACTTATATTGTGCCTAAGCAGCATATATACAGCATTGTGGTGTGTCTACTTGTTCATTCTTATACTCTTACCTATTTTAATTGTATTAGTTGAAACAACTAAGTCCATGAGACCCCCACCCCCAGATCAGTCCTATTTTCCTCTCACAGGTTTGGAGATAAAATCAGGAAGCTCATAATGTCAGAAGGATAAGGTTAAAAGTTACAATAGGGTTAAAAAGTTATGACTTGAATAACCAAGACAGTCTGTCCTGAAACCGTGACAACGAGAACAGAAAATCCTTAAAACTTAGATCTACAAATGTCTGCCTCGAGGCTAGCCATTGTTTGAGAAGGAACCCCAAGAGGATATAAGGTTAAATAGTAAATTGGTGGTAGGATGTGGGGTATGAACTCTAGTTACCTTAGATAATTATGATACTAAAAAACACACCTCTAGTTGGAGACTTCATATGTAAATATAGGACCACTCTAGTATAATGAGTTAGACCAAAATTAGGACGTGCGCAAACAAGCTTTTGTACAACCAACCAGCTATTTCAATGTGATTTCTTCCTTGTTACTGTTTTGTATAAAAAACCCTGTATGTTTCTGAGAGGTGTGCTGGCTCTTGTTAAATGCCTGACACCCTACTCTGCAGACTAGTCTGTGTCACCAAAATCGGGAATAAACTTCTTAACACAATAAAGACAAATAACTCAGTGTGTAGATTGACATTTTGCACACTGTGTGGAGAACCCTGATTTTGGGACAACAGTGACTGGGATATCTAGAGATGCCTCACATCAGGAGCTATACTGTCTGTATAACAATGCAGATTTTTCTGCCCAGACATTTACTGTTTGCCAAAACGATTTAAAGTTACACAAACAGCTGTGCAGGCAAAATGAAAGTGACGCCATGATGGCAACAAGCACTAGGGGGCTGGATATGGGACAGCATAAAGTGACATTTCCTTCAAAGACATGCTTATCAATCTAGGGCTCAAGAATCATTTGAACTGATAACAGTGAAGTAAAAAGATTCTGATGACTTGCTAAGTAGTTTATGCAGATAAAGATACATTAAGTTAAGAGACAGCTAGCCTGCAGCAGTGCACCCTTCTCTTTAATGCAGATAAAGAAGGAATGGCTCCTGTACAGTTACCTGATTTTTTTAAACTTCCTTGTTTCAGTTACTGAGCCAGTCTAACACACAGCAATGTGATTATTCAACTGCACTCAAACAGTGTAACAGAGAAAAGAACCGAACTTCATCCATCATTCCTGGTAAGCTTGTTCAAATCGGCTTCTCCAGGTGGCAAAATGTTTATGAACTGTGTATGTCAAACTTTTAATCTTTCCTCGGCAAGAACTGAAGACATCTGCATTGGTGTGCAGCAATGTTCTGTAAAGTGCTTTTAGTGAAGAAATTGTGTAAATGCTAACCATAAGAAAACAAAATAGATGTCTGAATAACACTTTATCCTGATTGATGGGGCTTAGTGTTATCATTGCTATGAGATATGTGAGATAATTGCTATAATATATGAGTCATTGCAACATAGGTACTCATCCATGACTTTTTTTTACAGTGGAAAGATCTAGAGTTGGTATCTCATCACTGTCTGGTGAAGGGACAGACTACATCAATGCTTCCTATATTATGGTAAGTCAGTTAACTGTATTGGTGAAAAACAATGTCCCATCGTATAGCTGTTTTCAGAGCTGCCATGTGTCCAAGTTAGTGTGGCACAGTTCTGATTTTGAAATCTCCTTTCTTCCGTTATTCACTCTGCCTGAAAGATTTACTTCCCCTAGGAAGTATTATTACTGTTATTACCGGTTTTAAGTTGGTTAAGTGCATTGCATCTTAACAATCTGTAGAACCAAAAATCCCATCATAGTTTTAAAAACTTTTAAAGCTGAATGCCACCTATGGAGGGATCTTTTGAGATTAATTAAAAGTATTAACTAACAAGTTAGTTTTTAATAGCTGCACTGTGGTGTGCCTTCCTACCCGCTCATCTTACAGAGCTTTTGCAACTGGTATAGCCCAAGGCACCATAGCTCATCAGCTTTTCATTATCCTTTTGCTCCCTGGGTTTTCTTTAACTCTTTTCCCCTTCATTAGCTGTGAGGGAGGAGTAAATGCTTCCTGGATATTCAGGAAAGAGATGGGAAAGCTCCCTGCAGTGCTGTGTATGCATGATCCTTCATCAGGTGCATTAGTGCAAAGGAACTCTTTTGTGCTAAGAAGTTGATCTGGGACATCTGTACAAATTAAGAGGCTGCTTGGGATTTTTGCAGATCTTTCAAGTATTCATTTATTTGTTTCAGTTTGTCAGCTCCTCTGGAATTCTGGCTAATGTAAAACAACTAGCATGTGTGTATGTGTTAATGTATCTTCATTCTGAGTTGACATTTCAAGTCTCCACTGATTTCTTTTGTCTTTTTTTTTTTGGATCAAATTTTTTTAAGTTTTAAAAAATATTTCAGTGTAATGGATTTTATTCTTTTCATCTGAAAAATACTGCAATGGAAGTATTCTATTCTTCTAATATTTGCAGGAAGCCAAAGGAGGTACAAGCCCGCCAATTTTTTTTTCTATTCTGGCTCTGTCCAATAGAAGCTTCCTTTAATTGTTAATAGTTTGGCATCAATTCTGAGTCTATTGATTTTGTTTTGCAGGGTTATTATCAAAGTAATGAGTTCATCATTACCCAGCATCCCTTACTACACACCATCAAGGATTTCTGGAGAATGATATGGGACCATAATGCCCAACTAATAGTCATGCTTCCTGATAGCCAGAATATGGTAAGTGTTATGGGTGAGTTTATGTATGAAGTTTAATAGTATTACCATTTTGAAATATGCAGGATATGAGACAATATCTTGGATTTTGGAAAAAAAAAATAATAATACTGTACTGAGTGTAAAATCCCCAAATCATCTAGTGGAAATCTGGAGATCCTTGTCTGGGCAGGTTGGAACCGGCATGAGAAAGTATTGAATCATTCCTGTATAATTTATAAAAAGAGCCAAACAGCAGAAGTAAACATTATGCAAGGTTAATTTTTACTCCAGGACTTTTACTTTGGTTGTAATATGGCTTTTTCAGCCATTTTTAAGTAAGGGGAGAAATATGAGGTTGTTTCTCCTGATCACCTCCTAAAATTACAAACAAAAACAAATGTTTATCAGGGATTTATCTGATTCTAAACAGCACAGGAAGCTCACATGTTCATCCTGCATATGTAATTTCATAACAAATTAATATATTTTTCAGTTACTAGAAACACAGAAATATCTGAGAGCTTTTAGGTTGGTACTTAGAGAAATCTTGAGGTGTGAGAGTGCATCATGTTTGGTAATGATTTTCAAGGAATGCCATGCAAATGCTTTGGAGAGTCTTGCATGATTGGAAAAACACGTACAACCAAGACGACATATGTTTTTTTCTTCTCATCAAATGTTTTATGAATGTTACACTTCCTAGAAAAGTTATCCTTTGTAAATAAGGGAGGTTGTTTTGCCAGGAGGTGCTTGTTCTTTATGATCCCAGTAAGAACGGCACTCAGACTCTGTAAAGTATCATTTAAAATGCTACTTATTAGAGCTAACACTATAAAGGAGAGGATAGTATAGATAATCTTACATCCCATCATATAGATTCTGAGAACCCCAAGTTGTACAGCATTGAATGGGTCTCTGATCAAGGTACATCACGCCATGCAGCTCCCATCCATGGAAGGGTTATTCCCATTTTGGTCATTCAAATCACTACAGAATTTTCTTAAAAGAAAACAACTCTGTTTGTCATTTCTGCTGTCAAACAGAAAGGATGTTCTCAGGAGAACTTCTTGTTGCACTTTTAGATAATCCCAAGGCCACGCAAATGGCATAATCATGGGTACAGAGTAGGAGCCGCCTACAGGCTCCTACATTACAGTCCACCAGTGAAGTTTGTCCTGTGGCCATGGGCTATGGGCCGCACAACACAGCCTGAGGGCCAGGCTGGACGTGTGGCACAGTGCAGCACAGCACATGTTGACTGTTATATGGATCGCTGTCTCCACGGGGTACAGTGATCTTCTGGTCAGGATCACTACAGAGGTGTCTGAAAACCATCACTTTTCAGTAACCCCACTCAGATTTTAATTTGTTAATTTCAATCTAGCTGACTGCATTGAATGCATACATGACATGTTATTTATTATGTTGGATTAAGTTTTAGTTTAAGAATTTAACATTACTTACTTTTATGCCTTCTTGTTTTGGTTGTTTTTTTTTCCTGGAGGCTGAAGATGAATTTGTATACTGGCCAAACAAAGATGAGCCTATAAACTGTGAAAGTTTCAAAGTTACTATGATTGCTGAAGAACACAAGTGTCTGTCTAATGAGGAGAAGCTCATAATCCAAGACTTTATTTTAGAAGCTACACAGGTAACACTATCATAAACATGTAACACAGGACTTGATTTGTGAAAGGTAATGCTCACATTTTGTTACATTTTCTATGGTAAATGAGTCATAAAATTCCATAATGAAGGATAAGAATAAAGACAGTTGATCTTCTACCAAATTGATTTATTTTTTTCACTCTTTTAGGATGACTATGTACTTGAAGTGAGGCATTTTCAGTGTCCAAAATGGCCAAATCCTGATAGTCCTATTAGTAAAACTTTTGAACTGATTAGCATCATCAAAGAGGAAACTTCCAACCGTGATGGACCCATGATTGTACATGACGAGTAAGAACTGCAGCTTTCAGTTTGTTTTGATGCTTTTCTGTAGAACCATCCTTTCATCTCATTCAGAGTTAAAGCTGCTGAAACAAGGCACAAAGTCTGCACCTAACAATAGTGCTGCTGCTTCTGTTTCAGCTGCATCAACAAGAGATACATTTTTATTTTATCACACTTCATTTTTTTTTTTTTTCAGTTCTATCATTTTGGTACTCTGGATGATTGTTGAGATAAGTTGTGGAGATAAGTCAGTCAGGGCTTCATTGTCTATTAGTGAAAGAAGTAAGACTATTTAGATGAGGCACCTTACCCTTCTCCAGCTGTTTTATAATGGCCAAAAATACTGAAATGTTGAAATACTGAAAGATCTGAGGCCTTCAGGATTTGATTGGTAGAGGATTGCAGGAAATAACTCTAAAACTGGCTTTTAAAGACTCTCCAGAAGCTGTAGCCAGGTGCTGTGAAGCTTGTATTAAGGCACTGCTGGGCAGGCCTATTTCAGAAAGTGTAAAGATCACATGACAGACATTAATCTTATCAGTTTGCTCTGGATTTTGTATTTTCTCCAGCTGTAGAAACTTGATACAATTTCTAGGGACTTTATTTTTGTGGTGTTTTTGGTTTTTTTACTTTATAAAGGCATGGAGGGGTGACAGCAGGCACTTTCTGTGCATTAACAACGCTAATGCATCAACTGGAAAATGAGAACTCCGTGGATGTTTACCAGGTAGCGAAGATGATAAATTTGATGAGGCCTGGAGTCTTTACAGACATTGTAAGTAATAAATAAAATGTGTGTATATTTTTTTTCCTATGTGTGGTACTATTAGCATGCTTGGCATCTTAGTTTCTGAGTTAATTAAAACTGCCTTCCAGAGGTGCTGTAATGCACCTGCTGCTTATTCCAAAACAAAGTGTTTCCCGTGAAAATCTGTTACAGGGTTATCAAGTGGTCATATTCAAAATGTGCAGAGCTGCTGCCTTCATCATAAAACCTTCAC